TTTATAAGCTAAAATATATATATATATATATATATTTGTTGGAAATATGCCTTGGAAATAAAACAAAAATAATAATAACTGTATTTTATATTTTTGCAATTGTCAGACAATTGTTTATAGGAATTTAATACCTCGTAAGGGGTATTAGTTTGAGTTGGTATTAAATTATGTGATGATAATAATAAATTTAGAAAAAATAGGTTACTTAAGTGACGGAGGAAAGTTTTGAGGGCTAATTTGTAGAGGCCACCAAAGTGGGCTTAAAAGAAGAATGAATATTTTTAAAAAATCCAATAAGCGTGGATTTAAAAAAAAATATTTTTACATGATTTCCAATAGGCTTGGATTAAAAAAAAATTCTATGACTTCCAATAGGCGTGATTTTTTAAAGAAATATTTTTCCATGACTTCCAATAGGCGTGGGTTTTTATACCCTTCACCACACTGTGGTACAGGGTATTATGTCTTTGTGCATATGTTTGTAACAGGCAAACGAAATCGGGATAGACGCATGGTTCCTTTTGAGAATATGCATAGAATCACTTTCGGAGTCGATTTATGCATGTCCGTCTGTTCGCCCGTCCGTCCATGTATTTTTGTGAACAAAGTACAGGTTGCATTTATGATCCGATTTGGATGAAATTTGGCACATGTCACTTATTTGGCCCAAAGACGAACCATATTGAAATTGGAGAAAATCGGTTCAGATTTAGATATAGCTCCCATATATATGTTCGACCGGTTTTATGTAAATGATATACCAAAGTCCCTATACATCTTTCGACTTGGACGAAATTTGGCACAGCGTACTAAATTGGCTCTAGAATGATGTGTGTAAAATTTCTTGAAAATCGGTTCAGATTTAGATATAGCTCCCATATATATGTTCGACCGGTTTAATGTAAATGGTATACCAAAGTCCCTATACATCTTAAGATTTGGACGAAATTTGGCACGGCGTAATGAATTAGGTCTAGAATGATGTGTGTTAAGTTTCGTGAAAATCGGTTCAGATTTAGATATAGCTCCCGTATATATTTTCGTCCGATATTAGGTAAATGGTGCAATAAAGTCCCTATATATCTTTCGATTTGAACGAAATTTAGCATATCGTAATGAATTAGGTCTAAAATGTTGTATGTTAAGTTTCCTGAAATCGGTTTTACTACTTTCCTTACTGGTTTTAAATATATATTTTTCCATGACTTCCAATACATGTGGATTTTTTTTAAGGTGTGAACTTAAAAAAACATTTTTAGGGTGTTCTTGAAAACATATTTAAAATTTTTTGCCGAAATATCCCTTCGAACATATTCTTTTAAAACATCACTGCCTACAACTAAAAATTTGTTGTCTAAATTTGACAATGTCTAGATTCTCTTAACGAAAAAAATCTCAAACTCAAAACACATTAACAAAAAGTGTCAGATTTACAGGCATTTTAGACACGAGTTTTGTTGGCTAACCACAAAAGCAACAGCGCCACTGCCGTAGAATGTGTCGATACCCGAGTATTAGAAACTTCAGTAAGTTTTTCAGTTTTTTTTACTTCTCTATTAAATACTATTGATTACTCTGGTCGTCGTTTTTGTTGTTGTTGTTTTTTTCATTTTGGTCAGTTGATAGTGGAAACTCTCGCAGCACACAGAAAATGTGAAAAAAAACAAACTAACAATATTAACCACATATTTATGGTCAATTTAAATAGACATTAATTGATAGTTTCTAAGACAAACATACACATACTCACATGTGTATGTATATACGCATTAGACGATAGACAATTTTTGAGCGGATGAACAAAAAAAAAAAAAAAACACTGCTATAAGCAACAATTGCCAATAGAGTCCGACCGACGATTGCAAGGAAATTAAATACTTTAACATGAATTTAAAACAAAAAATAAAAAAAAAACTTGAAGACAACAACAAAGCTGAGATAAAACTTATGGGCGACATACATATTGATGTCATTGCACAAAAACGAACAAATGACACATAATTTTAGGTTTTAAGACCAATTGAAGTGCCAGAGCAAATAGCTGGCTAGCTAGCTGTGGAAATATGCCATTAATATTAAATGAAAATCTAGTTGTTTTAATTTTTTTTCAATAAAAATTATTAATAGTTACAAAATAATAATAAAATATATTTTAATCCTTAAAATATTGTTTTGATATTTGCTATTAATTTATTTAATACATGTTTGAAGAGATTTTATTGGAATGTTCAATTTGTTATTTGTAGGAAAAGAGAGCAGCTTGGAAAATCAAAAAAAAAAATAAATAAATAAATAAAAATAAATAAATAAATGAATAAAAATAAAAAAAAATAAAATAAATATGCTAATTAAAAAAATGGCAAATATTGCATTTTTCACACGTTTTCACAGATTTTGTTTTTATTAGAAAAAAACACTGAAATAAACTAAAAACAAAAATTAAAGCTATTTTCCCATTAAAAAACTCCAAAATATGTAATTTACTAATCTCAGCAGGTTTTGCATTAAGGCTAATAATAACAAAAATCTTATTTCATATAGAAACTTTTTTAAGACTGGCGTGAAAATGTTCGCTCGATACCAGTCAGGTCTCTTTTGCTGAAATGCATTTATTTTGTACTACCATTTTTATGCTTCGTTGCAAAATGCAAAAAAGTTGTTATTTTTTTGGAAAATACATCATAAATCACGTTGATTGGAATAGAAAAAAAATCGAAAAATGGTATTAGGAAAAAATATGTATGTATGTATTACAAATTTAGCGCCAGCACTTTTACAATGAAATATGAAACAAGGTGGCAGATACACTCAATTAAAAATGGTTAAAATTAAAATATATTTTTATATAAAATAAAAATGAATAAAATAAAAAATATTGATATATCGAATGAAAAAATTATCATCATCCCAAAAATACCGAATATTTGGGTGTGCCTTTGTGTGCAGTCTACCCCCAAAAATTCAAAAAAAAAAAAAAATAAATAAATAAATAAATAAATGAAATAAATAAAAAATCCGCTTCTCAACAAAAAAAATATTCTTTCCACGCTTATGGCTCTTGAAAAAATATTCTTTAAAAATCCACGCTTATGGCTCTTGAAAAAATATTCTTTAAAAATCCACGCTTATGGCTCTTGAAAAAATATTCTTTAAAAATCCACGCTTATGGCTCTTGAAAAAATATTCTTTAAAAATCCACGCTTATGGCTCTTGAAAAAATATTCTTTAAAAATCCACGCTTATGGCTCTTGAAAAAATATTCTTTAAAAATCCACGCTTATGGCTCTTGAAAAAATATTCTTTAAAAATCCACGCTTATGGCTCTTGAAAAAATATTCTTTAAAAATCCACGCTTATGGCTCTTGAAAAAATATTCTTTAAAAATCCACGCTTATGGCTCTTGAAAAAATATTCTTTAAAAATCCACGCTTATGGCTCTTGAAAAAATATTCTTTAAAAAATCCACGCCTTATGGCTCTTGAAAAAATATTCTTTAAAAACTCCACGCCTTATGGCTCTTACAAATCTTCTTTAAAAACTCCACGCCTTATGGCTCTTACAAATCTTCTTTAAAAAATCCACGCCTTATGGCTCTTGAAAAAATATTCTTTAAAAATCCACGCTTATGGTTCTTGAAAAAATATTCTTTAAAAATCCACGCTTATGGCTCTTGAAAAAATATTCTTTAAAAATCCACGCTTATGGCTCTTGAAAAAATATTCTTTAAAAATCCACGCTTATGGCTCTTGAAAAAATATTCTTTAAAAATCCACGCTTATGGCTCTTGAAAAAATATTCTTTAAAAATCTACGCTTATGGCTCTTGAAAAAATATTCTTTAAAAAATCCACGCCTATAATAGCTCTTGAAAAAATATTCTTTAAAAATCCACGCCTTTAAAAATCCACGCTTATGGCTCTTGAAAAAATATTCTTTAAAAATCCACGCTTATGGCTCTTGGAAAAATATTCTTTAAAAATCCATGCTTTCGGCTCTCGAAAAAATATTGATTAAAAATCCACGCTTATGGTTCCGATAGTCCAATAATTATTCTTTCAAAATCCACGCTTATGGCTCTGATAGTTCTTGAAAATGTATTCTATAAAAATCCACGATAATGGTTCTGAAAGTCCATAAAAAATATTCTTTAAAAATCGACTATTATGACTCTAATAGTCCTTGAAAAAATATGCCTCAAAAATCCACGCTTATCGATGCTGATAGTCCTTGAAAACATATTCTTTAAAAATCCATCCTTATGGTTCCCATATGCATTCAAAACATATACTTTAAAAATTCACCCTTATGGCTACCATAGCATTCTTGAACCGTACCATCCTTGAAGAAATTTTTCTTTCAAAAAATTGTCATAATAAAAAGTCATAATAAAAAGTCAAACAAAAAGTTATTTTTTAACATACAAACATTCCCTCTCGAGCGTGTATACAAAAATTATCAAAGTTCCATTTAAAAAAATATGTTTTATATAATCCCCTTCTCCGCTCCTAATTGTCCCCCTTTAGCTTTAAAAATATTCACTTTGATTAGACATAATTAAAGCTTTGGACATTCTTCCAATCGTATATATACACAGCAATGACAAAATAAAACTATTTTCAAATCTAAAAAATAATTACACATACATATGTATATCACATTGTCATATATGTCTATGCGTACAATTGTGCGTCTGAATGATCGAATCAAATCGATTAATGCAAAGCTAGACAATACTGTTCTGTTTCGAATTGTTCTTGGGCCATTATAAATAATACAGACTGATGACTGGGCTGACTGACCGACTGCCCGTACCGATAAATACAATGTTTCACAATAGAATGAAAGAGAAAAAAATGAAAGGAATGAAGAAATTGAAATGAATAATTACACACACATATATATACACACTCTAATTAATTAATACTATTATTTGCGTTGTTTGTCAAATAAAACAAATATTTATCGTATTTTTTTCTGTTTTTCTCTTCCTCTCTTCTGTAGATGCCTGCGGCTTATCAGATGTCAATCACATAGAATCCCTGCAAGAGAAATCGCAATGCGCCTTGGAAGAATATTGCCGGACGCAATATCCAAATCAACCAACGCGGTTTGGTAAATTACTTTTAAGGCTTGCATGGCTGGGCTGGGTGGTGAGGGTCAGTGATGCATTG